TGGGCCGCGCAGGGGCGGGCGCCCTCAGGGTCGGGGGGCTCCGCCTCAGCGCTGGACCCCGGGTTTGTCCAACCCACCTGAGTTCCTCAGCTGGCAGTGTTCGCCTGGTCTTAGAATGCCTGCGCCTGAGTCCTCCAGATCTGCTAGGGTCCCCTTCTTTCCCGGGAGTGTGCCACAGGTTTTCTGTGGGAACATGGTTGAGAAATCTGTGCCACATGAAAAAAACAAATAGAGAACTCAAGCGTGGAGGCCTGGACGTGGGTTTAGTGTGTGTGTAGTCCCTCTTCGGTGTCCGCCTTAGCTGGTGAGATGACCCTGCTGAAGTCATCTTGCCCAGCCCTCTTGACTTTAAGGCAGGACCACAGTTAAATCACACAGACGAGTAACTTTGCTATTTTAAAAACAATGTTTAATAAGTTTTATTTTATTTAATTTCGTTCCCTCCCTCATACCCCCTCCCGTCCCTAGGTACAAAAGCTTTGTTTCCATTTTTCCTTCTATTTTCATTTTTTTTCTTGTCCCTTCCTTTCTTCCCCCCTCGTTCCCCTTCTCATTTATCTTTGCTGTTTTTAAGGAGGCAGAGATTTAGAAACTTACTCTCTCATTGCAGTGAGAACAGAGAGTGCTTATTGACCACTTGCTACAATGGTATATGTAAAGCACTGAAAGTGGAAGAGCTGTGAAGATTGACATTCTTTGCCCGTGCACTGGCATAGCCTAAGCTGTAGAATGTTAAAAGAGATAATTTAAAAAATAAAAAATAAAAAGCATTTGGTGCTCCAATGTGTTTGGAAAATTAATGGTTAAAGTTTTCTGTACTGTGGACCATTTCAGAGCCTGCAGTATGCTAATGTTATGTATCAGGAATATCCAACTGGGGGTATTTATGACGAGTTTCCCAGAGTTTACTGGGAAATACATACTGATTTTCTTGGGTGGTGCCTCTGTTTAATGTGTGGTGCTGTCTGGCATATGTAGTTTCAGAATTAGAAACTCACTGTGTGGAAGGGCATTGTAGGTTGGTACTTTTCCAGGGTTAATGAGGTGTTGTTAAAGTACAGATTCTGATCGGTTCTAAATTTCTAACAAGTTCCTAGGCGATGCTAATATTTCTGGTCCATGGACCTCACTCTCAGTAGCAAGGGCATTGGTCACTGGATTGAAAGTTAGCTCCCACTCTCCAAATGGCCGCCTTGGGTGAGTCATTTCATCTGTCCAGGTCTTAAAATAGGAGTCTGGACTAGGAGATCTTTAAAGCTCCTTTCAGATCTATAACACTGTAATTCTAGTCCAGTTATCCTTGTGATAGTTGAATTCTATGTGATATATTCCTGTCAACTCAGCAAATTTTGTACTTTGGCTTAAACATTTCTAATAATGAGGAATTAGATATAAAGCATCCCAGTGCATTCCTGGGATAGCATAAGGATGTTCTTCAGGTTGCTGAAATACATTTCTGCAACTTTCATCTTGTTGGTTCTAGGTTATTTCTTAGAATCAAACAAACAATACAAAAAAAACTTTAAAAGTTGACTCTTAGCCTGGTATGGTGGCATGTGGTTCTAGTCCCAGAAGACTAGAAGGCCGAGGCAGGAAGATTGTAAGCTCAAGCCTAGCCTGGATAACTTGGAACCTTTCTGAAAATAAAAAGATAAGAAAGCTGGGGATATAGTTCAGTGCAAAAGCTCTGGGTTCAATTCCTAGTATTGTTAAAAAAGTTGATTCAAAATTTTATATGACAGCTATTCCTTCCCCCTCCTCATATTTAAGAAATTTCTTTCTGCTGGGGATTTAGCTCAGCGGTTCAGCCACTTGCCTCGCAAGCACAAGGTCCTGAGTTTGATCCCTGGTACCAAAAAAGAAAAATAAAAAAGAAAGTTCTTTCTTAAATTAGTCCTCATTCTTCATGTAATAGGGCTTTAGCTGGATTTTGAGGGATGGGTATGGCTTGCAAGACTAGAAAATGCATCCTAGGTAGCTCAAAATGGTGCAGAGATGAGACTGCATATGTCAGATCCAGGATTTTTGAGGATTTATTTGTCTTACTGTGGTGTATAAGGTTGTTGGAAGTGAGGAAGAAAGGCAGAGTCAGGCTTCACTTACTGGTAATAGAAAACTTAGGTAGATGATAATAGTAATGCCTTGTTTTTATGTACAACATTATAGATCACAAAACTTTTTCCCCTTTGGCAGTACTGGTGATTGAATCTATGGCCTTTGAACTGAGCTATACTCCCCCTTCCCCGTTTTTTGGCAACATGGTCTCACTAAGTCACTGAATCACCCACGCTGGGCTTAAATTTATGATACTCATGCCTCAGATTCCCAAACTGCTAGAAGCACAGGCATATGCCATCATGGCTGCTCCAGATCGTAGAACTTTTCATGGGCCTGATATCATTTGATTTAATAATCTTGTGATGTAGCAGAACAGCAGACAAGGCACCAAAAAGGATGACAAAAATGATCTGCCTTCATTTAAAAGCTATTGAATGGCATACCAAAATGATGACATTGGTAATGGAGGAAAAAGTAAAGATGCTGGAGGTAATACTAAGCAAGAATTTATAGATTAGGTCTGACTGGATATGAGGATGCAAAGAAGAAGTGTATAGAAGAGTCAGAGTAGTGGGGAGAGTCATACATAACACCATTGACAGCTGCCACTCTAGTTTTTTTTGTCTGTCATTGCTAGAGTCTGCTTAGAGTTATAAATTGGGAGGGATTATAGTAGGTGATTCCCAGTTGCTTGGCCTGTCTGTAGTTACTAAGTAGTTCTGTGGGGCTTGGGATTACTGTCTCATACCAAGGGAAGTAGAAATGGGTCCTCAATGTCCCTGAAGAGGTAAGAGAAGAGAGATGATTCAAGTCAAATCTATCTGGGGCCCTTGCCGTCTTGGAGATTCTCACTTTGGCTTAATACCATTTTCCTTTTGAAGTTCAGGCTGGTACCAGCTGACCATGGCTGATGGCCAGATAAGGTATCCAGTCTGCCCTTTTGACTGCCTCCCAACCTAGAGGCTTCGCTGAAACAGAGCAGGTCCTTGCTGTTCTCAAAGCCTCAACACTGTTTCCTGGAAGATCTGGTGTGCTTTGCATATAGCCCTCTCTGATTCTCTTACTTGAGGTTTAATGTCACTGCCAAATTCCATAGGTCCTGGGGCTGTCCATGAACTTTTAGTTTATCATTCTTCTACCTGGAAAGGAAAGAGCTATATCTACTGTGTGTGTGTGTGTGTGTGTGTGTGTGTGTGTGTGTGTGTGATGTGTCTGGAAAATCTTAGGGAGTAACATGATAATATTTTGGGGTGCTAACTGTGGAAATAGGGGAAGAATCTGGATTAGGGATTTTGGGAGACTCTTGTAATAAGAGTGGTAAGGGGGCCAGGATTTAGCTCAGTGGTTCTGCTATCTGCCTCACAAGCACCAGGGCCTGAGTTCAATCCCTGGTACCAAAAAAAAAAAAAAAAAAAAGGAATGTTCTGACTTTTGGGCTGGGGATTTGGCTCAGTGGTTCTACCACCTGCTTCGAAAACACAAGCACCTGAGTTTGATCCCTGGTCTCAAAAAAAAAGTAGGAGCTGGGCATGGTGGCACAGGCCTGTAATCTGAGTACTCTGGGAGGCTGAGGTGGGAGGATTATAAATTCAAGCCCTGTTTGGGCAATTTAGCAAGACTCTTGTCTCAAAAAAATAAAAGGGCTGAGGATGTAGCCCAGTACAAAATCCCTGGGTTCAGTCCCCTTTCCACTACACATACACATTAGTTAGGGCAGAATGCAGAATGCTGAACTAAAGATTAGGCCAATGAGATGGAAAGGAGGGGATAAATCTGAGCAACTTCACAGAGATGGAATTAACCTGAGTAATGACTAGTTGGTTGTTAAGAACAAGAGAGGGAATTGTTGAGGTTTTTTCTGTTTGTGTGGGTGGTGGTGCCAGAAGCAAAGAGGGGCTATAGAAGAGGAACCTCTATGTGCTGCCAAAGTGACCACAAAGAGAACCTCTTTTGAGGGGCAAGACCTAGAATGTTTTGGATCATCTTGAGCTTGTGGGGTCTGTGGCACTTGGTGAACAGGTAGAGATATAAGTCTGAGGTTCAGAAGATAATGTCTACCTAGGGCTGGTAGGTGTAGGTGGTAGTTGAAGTTTTGGGAATGGATGACCTCTCCAAGCCACACGCATACAAGGCTGGAATGGTAGAGGAGACCAGAGGGATAGTTGTACAAGGCCAAAAAGAATGTTGCCTGGGAAGTTGAGAAAGGAGAAAATTCCAGGGAAGGGATAAGCAGTTCCAGTTGTTGTAGGGAGGTCAAGTAGAATGTGTTTGGAAAATGCACCTTGAGGTTGGGTAGTTAGGAGATTGTGGGCTCTTTTTGTGAACAGCTTCAGTGGGGTGGTAGGGGCAGAGTGAGATTGCAGTGGTTTGAGTTGTAAATGGAAACTGACGGTAGGGAGCATGTACTTACCCTGAGAAGTTTGGCAGGGAAGGGAAGAATAGAGATGGTGGCTGCTTATGGAGGAGGTGTTAGGGACTAGAGACAGTTTTCCCTAGAACATGAGTCCTGAGCATGGTTTCCTGGTGACATGTAAGAACCAAAAGAGGAGGTGCACTAGAAGAAGGCATTAGAGAAAAGAAGATTGCTAAATTGGGTCCTCAGAGAAGGGTAGAGAGGTGGGTCTGAGTACAAGGGGACACAATTCCTTTAAAGGGGAATGGAAAAAAGGAAGGAATTCAGGAAGAAAGTCCTTGATGGTTCAAGACAGGGACTTGCTCTGTAGTTCAGGCTATTCTTTTTTTTTCTTTTTTTTTTTTTTTTTTTTTTTTGTTTGAATTTCTAAATTTGTATGTTATTTTAGGATGTATGAGTCAGATGAAAAACTGTATTTTTTTTTTTTTTTTTTTTTTTTTTTTTTTAGTACTGGGGATCGAACTCAGGTCCTTGTGCTTGCAAGGCAGGTAGTGGAACTACTGAGCTAAATCCCCAGCCTGTTCAGGCTATTCTTGAGCTCATTATGTAGCTCCAGCTGGCCTTGAACTCAGGGCAGTCCTGCCTCAGCCTCCTAAGTGCTGAGATTATAGGCCTGTGCCACCACACCCAGCTAAATATATCTACATTTACAAAAACTTCTTATTAGGCTCAGTTTTCTTTCTTAGCCTAGTACTTGTAGTTATTAGGGTGGGGATGCTGATGTGGGCTCCTTAAGAAACAGGGACTTGAAAGTGGTAAAGGAAGCTAGTGGTAAAGGAACCACTCAGAAGAATTGAGGTAAACTCCAAGAGTGTGTCAGTATTCTCTGAATTGACATCTTATACTTAAGGCTTCTCCCAGTCTTCCTCACAGTGAAAATGGCTTACATTAATTGAGTGCTTCACACCATGTATTGTTTTAAGCTCTTTTCAGGCATTCTTATGTGATTTTAAGTAACAGTCCTTTTAGAAAAGTATTGTCCCTGTTTTACAAAAGGGAGAACTGAGGCATGGAAGATTACTTAAGCTTTATAGTATTTATATTCTGCAAAAATGACATTCCTTCTCTGGAGTCATCAGAGAAAGCAGAAATTTAATCTTAACTCCCAATTTTTAGACCTTGAAGCTGCTAAGCAGTCACTTCATATGCTACTCTGTGAGCATCATGTTAGCATGGATCGGGAGAACAGTGGGTTCAGTGTTAGCTGCTAGCCTTTTGCAAGTACACAGGGAACTCTGAAATCCTTGAGTGCTTTTCCAGCATTCTGACTAGAAAGACAAGTGACTGTTAGTGATTTGTCAGGCTAAGACTGTGTCGCCTGAGATAATGAATAAGGAGACCTTGTTCTCGTCTTCATCACCCCGAAAAATTTTTTCTACCACTTAGTTATGAGACTAGGCAGACTTATAACCTTACATAATAACCTAATGCTTATTAATTCACCTTATGTGTTTCCCCAGTGCATATGATAGATAGAATTTGCAGGTAAGGTGCACACCTGACTAAAGTGAAAAGGGAGAATGATGGGATGGCAGGGTGGAAGACAAATGAGCTTACCTTTTTCTGCTGCAGCCACTGAAGCATCATCTCTGTGTCCTTCCTCTTGAGGTTGCCATGGTTACGCCTTTGCATGATAGTTCGAGGAGATTGATTTCCATTATGATCTGATGATGATGTGGTTTTAGAAAGAGAAAAGATAGAATGATCTGCTTCTGGGGAGTGGCCCCGGTGAGCTGCCCAAACAGCAGAGCCTGGGAGAGCCTAGCAGAAGCCGAGGTGGCTGTGGCTTTGTTGGCTGCTTTGGCTTTTGCTGAAGTTGTGAAATGGTGCATCTTTCTCTTTAGAGCGCAGGCTCGGGATTCCCTGTCTGCAGGGTCCTAGTGCCAGGAACTTGTTGGTTGATTCAAGGAAAGAAACCAGCAGGAACTTCAAAACAGGCTAAGTGGGACTCCTGCTGTTACTGGGAGTGTTGCTATTCTTGAGTACTGGGCCTAGCACTTCCCGCAATTCTATAGAAGTTCCTTTGTTGAAGATGAGTGAGGTATACTGTATAGCTTTTCTTCCTGACTCTAGAGGTGGACCTGGAAGTGATTAGGTATGTTTTGGAGAGTGGGACACTTTGGGAGCAGGTAAACCTATATTCAGACTGGGAATAGGTTGCATACATTTCTTGGAATAATGGAGTTGAGAGGTGAAAGAAGTCCATTTAGGGTCTATTCATCTGTATGAGATCTGTAAGGTAGATACAGAAGTAGAATTTAGGAACAAAAGGCTATATGCATGTTATTTTTCTGGGCTCCTGTGGGTATCTGGAATCCAGTTTCACCCTCCTGGCCTCCATTTCCTTCTCAGCAGACCTTTTCCCTTCCTTGCTCCTGATGAGTTTACACCCATACTTCTTATTTCATCCTTACTAGTACTTTTAGAGATGTATATTTTGTCCTGTTGTCATACTGCCTGAGTTTCAAAGCAGATCTTCTATGAGTTGGACGAGGCAAAGCAGATGGTTGAGTTAGCCCAGTATTAAGGTTTGGTGAGGTACGACAAGAAGAGATTAAGGTATTGGGATGCTGGAGTGTCAGGAAAAGTGAGGTAGAAATGGTTCTGGCCAGATAGAAAGGGTAGAAACAGAAAAGAAGCTTTTTCTCCCTGTTTGTTCCTCCTTACTAAAAAATCTGCTTATTTCCCTGCTATTTTCTGAAAATTTCTTGAAGATTATTGGTAACTTGTTAGCCACATACAAAGATTTTTCTCTCTTCTTCCCATTTTTCCTAGATATTTTAGTAGTACTTAATATTATTGAGGAGGAAAATGCATTAGAATTGCAAGGAGTATCTGTCTTCTCTCTGGCTGAAAACATGTAACTCAGGGGAGTCCTATGGGATGTACACTGGGCCTAATAGTGCTATGGAAGGGGCACCTACCTGTACAGCTAGTCAGATGTGCCTTTTTGCTGTTTTTGGCTGTAAGACTTAGACAAATCATTTGACTTCTGAGTCTTGGTTCTGTTGCCTAAAGATTGAAGGCAACGGAATCTGTTTTGACTACATCAAAGATACTAGTTTTGTTGGAAATATTTTATTTTGAGATAATTAATACACTTTCATGCAGTCAAAAAAATAGTACAGAGATTGTAATGCCCTTAGTTCTCCATAGTAGTTAACATTTTGCAAAATGGTTGTACAATATTACAAGTAGGACATTGACATAGATGCAGTCAATATTCTGAATACACACATACACAGTTCTAAACAGTTCCATCACTCTAAGGAGCTCTCATATTGCCCCTTATAGTTCCATCCCCTCTCCATTTTCTGTTTTTACTCCTCCTAATTCGTAATTACTTGCCATTAAGTACTTACCATATTTGAAAGAGGTACTGAGATATATGTGTTAGTATCATAGGCAGATTTGCTCCAGGGAAGGCCGTAAGTACAGGGCTGATTTTTTTCTCTTCTGAGATGCTCATTTTACCTTCCTGTTGCCCAAATTCTGTAATGTTTCAAGTATCATTCTTCCTTTACTCATGCTTGAAAATGCCTCATTCATTTATTTGCCTATTAATTAATATATTCACCCTCTAATCATTTATCCTAGCAACATTTGAGTTTGTCCTGTGTAGAAAGCATCATTGATACACCATTGTAATAATGATGGAGATGATATCTATAATATATTGAACCATGTTTTTTGTCAGGTATTTTGCTAAATGCTTTACTTAAGTCTTACTCGTTATAGCATCCCTGTAAAGTAGCATTATTTTCTCCTCTTTGCAAACGAAGTAACTGGGGCTCAGAAAGTTAAATATTTTGCTCAGAGCTCTACAGATGAAGAAATAAGAGACCCTGAGCTACATCTAGGTCTGTTTCCAGAGTCATGCACTGCCCCTTTCCTGTGTCAGATCTGTCCCAGCGCCTTCTCAGAGCTGTTCTGGTACTCTCTCTCTGAATTAACGTCTTCTTCAGATCCTTCTGAGTCCATGTTCATTATTGCAGCAGTCTCCTTGCTGTAATCTCATCTTTGCCAAGTTGCTGCTGCCTCTATTGTATCCTGCACATGCCACCAGTTTGATCTTCCTAAAATAATTTCACTGTGCCACTCTATTGCTGAGGAATGAGACTAGCTTCCTGTTGTTATTGGATCAAGTCCATCTGTCTCTGCCTGATGGTAAATTCCCTGTATATTCATACTTTCCTCCTAGTACATCTCAGTAAATATTTGACTCCATGAGCTAAGGACAGCTGGATCATAAAGAGGGAAGTTGTGGGCTTTGCTTTAAAAGTCTTTTAATGTGATAGAACTCATTTAGAATTTTTCTCTTCAGCTAAGCTAGTCTTTAATACACCAAGCAGAATTATTTCTGTCTCTGCTCATACTGTGTTCACAACTTACTGTGCTTTATAGGCTTTTCCTCCACATAGCAAAACAACAAATGAAACAATGCTGTGGTGGCTCATACCTGTAATGCCAGCACTCGGGAGGCTGAAGCAGGAGGATCAATGCCAGTTCAGGGCCAGCCTGGGCTACATAGTGAGTTCAAGGCTGGCTTGAACTACATAGTGAGACTTTTTCCCCAAAAAAACAAAACAACACCATGATTCAAGGTATAGTTGGGTACCCCTTTTCTTTCCAGTGCATATTTTTTCTATCTGTAATGCCTTATAATATTTATTGTCTAGACATTTTAAGATTTGATACCAACCAGGTGTGCACACCTGTAATCTCAGCACTCAGAAGGCTAAGGCAGGAGGATCACTCGGAGTTTGAGGTCTGCCCTGGACATAGTGCAAGGCCTGCCTCAGGTACATAATGAGACCCTCTTTCCAAAAAAACTCTCTAGCATTCTGTTAGTAATAATTCTTTGTATTTTTTTGCAGCTTTCCTATTCTTTATTTCATCTTTCTTTTTTACCCCCAATAATTGGGATTGAACACAGGGCCTTATACAGAACTACATCCTCAGTCCTTTTTTATTTTGAGACAGGGCTTTGCACAGTTGCCCAGGCTGGGACCAAACTTGAGAGCCTCTTGCCTCAGCCTCGTAGAGTGCTAGGATTACCAGATGTGTCACCACATCTGGCTTTATTTTACAAAATAGTTTTATGTACTTAATCTTTTTTTTTTTTTTTTTTTTTTTTTTTTTGAGACAGGGTCTCACCATGTAGTTGAGACTGACCTGGAATTCACTGTGTAGCCCAGGCTGGTCTTGAACTCACAGCGATCCTCCTGCCTCAGCCTCCTGAGTGCTGGGATTACAGGCATGTACCACCATGCCCAGCTTAATCTTTTTTTTTTTTTTTTAGTCTCATAACACAAATATAGATATGGCAGATATTTTCCCCATTTTATAGAAGAATAAGCATCTTTCAAGAAGATAGCAACTATGCATGTGTCAATCTTGAATTGTAAGGCTGTTCTTAGATCTGAGGTCTCTGTTGACTTTTTGAAGGCAGTGTGGTCTAGAGAAAACCTGGCTTTGGAAGCCAAGTGATGTGTGGGAACAGTGAGGGATAGTAGAAAACACAGAAGGCTCTGTGTTAGGTTTTGGTTTCACTCTACCTTCTGTGTAACTTCAGAGAAGTCACTCAGTTCTGTTTCCTTGTCAGTATCACACCTCTCTATGGCATTATTGTAATGTCAAAACATGACGATGGCGCTGTTCTTAGGTAGCTTTTATCGAACACTTACTAAATACCAGGCACTATCCTAAATATGGATTTCCCCAGCTAGTCTTCACACATCTGAGAAATGTTCTATGATTGTTTCCAATTAACACAAAGTTGAGGCACAGAGATGTTAAGAACTAGACCAAGTTTATGCAGCTACCAAGTGATAAGCTAGGAGAGCAGCCTGAATTTAGAATCAGTGCTCTCAGCTATGCTACTGTGGAACAGTGTTTCTAAGGTACTCTGTAAACTGTAAGCATCTGAACATGTCAGACCAAGCCTGGAAGGCCTGAGTGGCCCTGCTGACAATAGAATGATAGCCAACAGAAAGGATTACAGCCCAGAACACCTCTCTTGTATCTTTAATCCTGTCCAGACCCCTAGGAAAAATCTCTCCTTCCCTGCAATATCTGGGGAGGGAGGAACATGGAGATACATAGCCCCTAGGAGAAAGCATAATCTCACCAGAAAAGCATTATCTCAGCTGGGTGTGGTAGCATAGACCTATAATCCCAGCCCTCTGGGAGACCAAGCAGAAGGATCACAAGTTCAAGCCCAACCTGGACAGTTTAGTAAGACCTGTCTCAACATAAAAAATGGCTGATTGCCAGGGATATAGCTCAGTGACACAGTGCCTGCCTGGCAAGTGGGAGGTCCTGAGTTTGATCCCTGGTACCAAACAAAAAAAAAGGCTGGGGATGTAACTTAGTCTGAAGTCCCTGGGTTCAGTCCTCAGCTGTACCCCCTACCCCATTCATACAAAACCCTAATCTCACTAATTTTCAATAGTTTATTATAAAAGTAACATGATTAAGGACTTTTTTGTACTATTGAAAAATAAAAAAAAAATCTCATTGGATATGTTAGTGGGCAGGTCCAAGAAACAATACAAGGGCAGATGGTTGAGGTGGACTCAGCCTTAGGCTACCAGGGGGAAAGTGGGACCCTGTGCTTGTAAACACTGCTCTTAGTAATCCAGTTGGATTTGATACTGTTGGGCTTCAGAACCTAACCTGTATAACAATTAAAAGGGAGAAAGAATGATTGTGACACCTGTGCTAGTGTGTGTGTTGTGTGTGTGTACCTTGGGTAAGTGTGTGAAATTGCCCCCATTACTCCCCTTCCTTTGCTGTTTTTGGGCAGAGCCTGACTCCTCTGATATAATATGAAATTGAAATCCAGACCCTGACTCCATAGTTTAGAGAGGAGAAAGAGAGAGAAGTACTAAGCGGGGGTGGGGGGTGGGGGGCTAGAAACCCTTATTTCGTTAGTGTAGAGGCTCTAGAGAGCTGATCATTTTGAGGTGTCACTTCGTACTTGTGGGCCTTCTGAAACCTCATATCCTAGGGGCTGGGGAAATAGTGATGGTGAGAGGATACAGGCTAGGAGGATTCCTCAGGACTGTGCTGTCAGCTCTAGGACACTGTACTCTAGAAGTGAAAGCTGAGGTTGGGCTGAGAAATGAAGTGAGGCCTCTCTGTGCCTCCTCTCTTCTCCTCTTGTCTGGCCCAGGTAAAGCAGGGGAGCACTAGGACCCAGAGGCTAGCACAGTCCCTGACAAGTCTAGAGCAGCACTAGCGCAGAGTGAGACTCATCAGCTGGCGAGCAGGATTCGGTATCTCTGGGTTCAGGAATCCTCAGGCAGCAGAGAAGACCTGCTCATCAGCCCCCAGCACAGCCCCCACCCCTACCCCGGTCGGCCACCGAGGGAGGCCCATGGACTGGGGAGGGCTGTGCCTGACGGCCCTGTGTCGGTCCTTGAGGGCCCAGTGCCCTGACCCTCCTGCCTAGGTTTCTGCCTTTCTCTCTGTCTTTGGTCAGCTGGGGGAGGGGGTAGAGGCCGGGTGAGCAACATGGCCCAAAGCAAGAGGCACGTGTACAACCGGGTAAGTGGCCCTAACCTGGATGACCCTGGGAGGGCTGCTGGAGAAGGCCTGAGTGCCTGTGGACATCACTGCAGTGGGGGCTGGGGAAATAGGCTGGAACTCAGCTGTGGGCACTCACAAACTGTTTTAAAGGGGTCCTGGGACCCTAATGATGACAGGCTGGACAGATTTCCCTTCCTAGAGCTGGGCCCTAAATGGGAACTTCCAAGGCCCAGCCTCTGACTTAATTGGCTCTTAGGGTAGGGGTTCCTGAAGGGGGCCAGACTGTCCTGGGGACTCAGCATGGTGTTGATGGGTCAGAGAGGCAAAATATCAAGGCCCTTCTTTAGAGCTGCTTTTTTGTTAGTTGCTTGCTTTCTTTTCTGTCTGAGATTGAATCTGTACCCACTGTTGTGTCCTTCTGGTTTGGAGAGGCTTGTTGGGAGGTTGGGGGGAATTTCTGAATTTGAGTATAGCCTTGATGTCATTGGAAATTTCCTTTATCAGGTCCATGAAATCTGGCCTTCTGTCCAGGTGTGATTTGAAGTCCTGAGCCCCTCGGGTCTGTGTCCTTACCTTCCTGGATGAGCTCTTTGGAGAAAGGAGTTAGGGAATGACAGGCTGAAAGTGTTCTGTAAGGGCTCTGAAAGGGCTCCCTTTTGAAGAAAAATGAGGGTATAAGAAAGGAACTCCATGGAGTCTTTTAAGACTGTGGTGTTACCTCTTCTTGCCTCATTTATCAGTTTTCTGCAAAGCTTCTGGTCCATGGAACTGCTATTACTAAAAATGGCTTAGGTGTGATTCTCTTCTAAACCATGGGCTGATTTGGGACCTAATTTCATGTTGTGTCCTGTCATCATAAATGTTTAGAAACTGAGAGCTTCCCAAGGACAGTGTTTTAGATTATTCCTCTTCCTTGCCAATCTGTGAAGTGACAAGATATCCATATGTACTGCTGGACAGATGAGGCACAAATGGGACATATCTGAAGTACCTTATATATTTGGCCTATGTTTTTATTTTTGTAGTAACATAGCATGGAACAAGATCTCCAGAGCTTAGGGACAGAGTGGGCAGAGCAGGATACAGGCCAGGAGGGAAGGGAGTTGGATGGATGAATAGGGTGCTGAGAGTTCAGGGGTATCATCATGGCTATGTGGATGGGAGTGACAGGAATCAGATCAGGAAGGAGTGGTGGTGACTTGAAGGCCTGAAAAGAGTAAAGGTTGTATTCTCTGAAAGGGAAAGGCCTGAAAGAGCTGTTTGAACCTAGGGAAGACAGATGACAGTTGAAAGGGAAACAGAACGCAGCAGGGACGCCCACTGAATCACCTATCTTCCCAGCTCAGACTTCTGACTCAGGGCATTAGGTTATGAGGAGCCTGGTGTAAACTGAGTTGTTAGCTTGAGTTTAATTTTTCTCCTTAGGGGCAGTATTCCTGAGAAAACAGCCCTGTGTTAAATTTCACAGGCTTATCCGTGAGTTCTGATTTGTTATAAAATTTAAATGTAAACTCTTAAAAATTCTAGCAGATTCCAGAGGAATTTGGAGAAGCTATAGAAAGACCCATCACTGACATTTTTCAAAGGGAAATTTGGGGGCTAACACCACCCTAAGAATCAAGTTCAGGAAGCAACTTCTGGTCTATTTTCAGTCCAGGTTGGGTAATTTCTTATGCATTAGGATGCCACCTTTGACCTGAGGCCTCTTGCATGTATGTTTCTTTCAGACATCTAGTAGCAGCAGGATGAGTGCGGAGGCCAGTGCCCGGCCTCTACGTGTAGGCTCCCGTGTGGAGGTGATTGGAAAAGGCCACCGAGGTACTGTGGCCTATGTTGGGGCCACACTCTTTGCCACTGGCAAATGGGTAGGCGTTATCTTGGACGAAGCCAAGGGCAAGAATGATGGAACTGTCCAAGGCAGAAAGTATTTCACTTGTGAAGAAGGACACGGCATCTTTGTGCGCCAATCCCAGGTATGCATCCTTTACTTGTGTGTGTGTGTGTGTGTGTGTGTGTTAGTGCATGCATATATCTGCTGCATGTACAGCTGGTATATTGGTACTTCCTTTTCCTTATTGTGGGCATGAGCTTCTGGTTGGGGGAGTGGGAGGTAGCAGCAGTGGGAAGATTGGCAGTTTATCCTTATGAAAGCTTCCCTGTACTTTGTCTTGCTTGAGGATTGGGGAGAGACCCATATTAGAGCCATTCTTAATCTGGATGTATTGAGTCTGTTCTGTGGCTTCAGATACAGGTATTTGAAGATGGAGCAGATACTACTTCTCCAGAGACACCCGATTCTTCTGCTTCAAAGGTCCTCAAAAGAGGTAACAGCCACCCACTTAAATTGTCTCCTCATGTTTAGAAGTCCTAGCACTTATAACAGGGGGCCACAGTGGATACTGAAATTTTTCCATCGCCACCATATTCCTTTCTTATATCTCCCCCCACTCCACCATGATATTATCTGTCCCTAGCCCTTTATACAAATGCACACTTTGTTTCTGTTTGCTTTCTGCAGAGGGAACTGATTCAGCTGCGAAGACTAGCAAACTGGTGAGTGGTTTGTTGGTGGGAGTAGGGAGTAACAAAGAGAGGAAGGGAGGGAGACCCAATGCTAGGTAGAAGTAGTACAGAAGTCTGAACTTAGGTAATTTAGTCTCTCCAACCTCCCTATAAGGACACTTTCTGAGTATGAGTTGCTATATTAGGGCTAGCATAAATGTGGTAGCAGGGGAAGGCTGTTAGTTTCAAGAAGTGCAGGGTCAAATGGGGCTGAGCTGGGGGTGATAGGAAGGATAGATCTGACCCTAAGAGTGTAGCCAGATTCCTACCTTTTGGTACTCAAAGATGCCAAGATCTAATTAGTTTAAGGGTAGGGTAAGGTAGAAATAGAGGAAAAAAGAGCTCTTATATTCACAAGTGGTGACAAGGAGCTAGGCCCTCTGCCATCTGTTTTAGGCTGTATGCAGAGGGTCCTTCCTAGCTCCACTGTACCATTTCTCTGCAATGTTGTGAGGTAGGGCTCCAGCTTCTCTGGACCAGGGTGTGGACTTCCTTGAAGCTGATGCTTGATGAATCCCTCTTCTCACTCAGAAATTGACATTGGCCTGCTCTGTCCCCTATCCCCTGTGTATTCCTAAGTTGGTAGTAATACCTATGCCTACACTGTCTGACAAGCTAGTACAATATGATGTCTGTTTTCTAACTGCCCTTTCCTACTCCTCATGCAGCGGGGACTGAAGCCTAAGAAGGTGTTGTGTTTACTGTTTGTACTGGGGTGGGTGGGGGCTGTGAGCCCCCTCCTCTGCTGTCCTGCATGTCCTTGGGCTGCTGCATGCATGTGTGTGTAATCCGGGGGCTGGGATGGACAGAGGATATGGTGGCCTTGGCTTCCAGAGCTCCTCTGAAGGGTGCAAAGACATCAGGCTCAGTGTCTAGCCCAAGTAGCACTCATTAGAGATTTCTTCCTGCCCCAACATTTGATGGTAAACAGCAGCAACATGAAATAGAGTGTAAGGCTTTTGGTGGGTTCTCCCTTAGCTGAGTTTAGGTGGCTGTGGAGGATACACTAGAGGAATGGAGCTTGAGAAAGTACTAGGTAAAGTTGTGCAGAAGAATGGGAGGTCAAGGGACCACCCACAGAAGGAACAGTTGGAATGCCTGAGAGTATGCCTGCCTCTGGGTGGGTGCTGCCATGAATACCCACCTCTATTCTTCCCTACCAGTCTTTCCCTGCCACTTCCTCTGCCGTGTGCCTGAGGTCCACCCCTCACCCACATATAGAGGGTCTTGGCTGTGCCACCTCCCTCCCATCCACAGAGTTTTAAACACTTAGAAATGCTGGCATGACTACTTCCTCATGCCAGCCCCTGCCTCGGGCAGAAGCCCAAGCTGTCCCTGACCTGCATGTGTCTCTCTGAGCTGAATGTATATGCTGTATGTATTGTGATATTCTTGTTGCCATCCTTTGTTTGGCCTTGCTGATGTTGCATGGAGAGCTACTGGATTAGGGTAGTGGGAAGTGAGAGGAAAACTTGTCCTTTTTGACTCTGGTGGGCAATGAGGTTTCATTTTGGAGACTTGCAGTGGTAGAGACCACATGCTAGTACTTGCTTTGTGTCCTCAGCCCTGGTTTCAGGTAGGAATGGGCTGTAAGAAAAACAATGCTCTAAAAGATGCTGGCACCATTCTAGCATCATGGAAACTTGGATCATCCCTTGGTTATTACCTCCTGGCTGGGACTCCTATCTTACCTCAGGCCCCTGAATACAGAAGAACATGAAACTGCATTCTGAGATCTATGGAGGAGTCCTGGTTGCAGCCTGACATGACCCTGGCAGGGGCCTGAGCAATGCCAAACCTGTGGAAATGTGGCAAAGCCCAGCCTGGACTGCCCATGCTGGCTTATAGCACCTTGCAGTGGACAATGTCAGTCAGGTAGTGGAGTACTCTTACTCTCCAGTCTTCCACCCTAGTGATTCTCTCAAAACAAATCACTTAGCCAGGGCCTCTGCTCTCATCTTAGATGGAACAGAGAACTAGATCCAGAACAAAAAGAGAGTGCTTTGAATGCAGGGCAGAAGAGAGCACAGGTGTGTCTGCAAAGTCCCTCGTTCTTTCTGGAAAGCCCTTTAGGAACAGGCTTTAACCTATCTACAACTAGGGGACCATTGAAAGAAGAGCCATCACTATCATCAGAGTTGCTGCTGTTCTGATAAGAGTGTTCTGCAGGGTTTTTAAATTACTCTGTTGCTCCTCAGAGCTTAAGCTGGGTGCTGGAGGGGAGATGTAGGTGTGTGTTCCTAATGAGACAGCTGGCTGTAGCCAGCGTGTATAAGAAAAATGGAAGCAGTGGGGTTTTAGGAGGAGCAGAGTGCAGTTATTCCATGAGAAATATGGAGCAGGAAAGCCCTGTGTCCCTGCCCACTGATGCCATCTCCCCATAAGGTGCCATTTCTGGCATGCCCCCGGGCCCAGTTTTTTGAAGCAAGCTCTTGGGGATGGGTAAGGGAGGGCGAGGGTGGAGCTTGAACCTGTTCTTTGGAGGAAGCAGCAGGGCGGGCCCTGCGCAGGATTTTGTCCAGTCACGATGAGGAGGAGGAGCCCTCGGGTCCCTGGGTGGTTGCTAGGTGACCGAGGAACAGTGGCTCCACCCCTTGGAGCAGAGGAGGGTGGGTGCATGACGTCAGGTGGAGCGGGTGCTGCGGCCACTGAGGCTGCCATCAGCCTAAACTGGTGAACTGAGCTGGGTACCGCTCCGGTGCCTCCTGGAGCCTGGTTGCCCTGCTGGGCACCTTCGGGGCCTCTGTGTTGGAGCGGCAGCCGTTTGCAGGCTGGGAAGCTGCTGGCCGGGAGCAAAGGCTGCATTGTTGGGATTTGATGCACTAATCTCCTGTCTCGCCGCCTTTCCCTCTGTTCGGTCTCTTACCTTCCCTCCCTTCGTCTGTCCTTCCTCCTGGTGTTTGTCTATCCTCTCTGTCCCTCCTCTTTCCTCGCCTTGCTTTCTTTGGTTTTCTGCAATGATGAGACAGGCACCGACAGCCCGAAAGGTACTCTTGCTTGCTCTGGTCCTGCTGCTGGGTTGCCAGGTCGATGGTGGCAGTAGGCTGCTGGGGTGGGGGTGGGGGCTGATTCTTCATCTGTCTACCTGGTTGGGCGAGGAGTGTGAGGATGAAGGGAGGGGGCAAGGAGAGGTGTATATCACCACTGTGCCTCACCCCTGGGATTTGCTCTGTGCCCTGCCTTTTGGCTCTAATCGAGTCTGTTTCAGGCCTTGTCTCCAGTGGTCTCAGGGCTTCGGGAATCCCTTACTGCAAACAGGCTTGAGAGGATTTTCTGTAGTAGAGCCTGAGGAAACTGGCCTAGCTGTCTTGGTGCCTCTAACAGGCCTGCCTGTCTCAACCAGCCTTTCTAGAATGACTCTTGGTTGTTCTTTCAGCGTCCACCACCCTGGGGTTTATGTCATGGGGCTCCTAAGGGTGGGTTGAGGACCCTGGAATAGTTTTGACTTGCAACTATGGAAGCATGGAAGCTTAGTTCTCAGTAAGAGGGGTGAGGATAGGTCTTCTTAGGCTCAGTGCCTCCTAGAAACTGGACCTGAGCCAAATCTTAGCTTTGCAAGAGCATTGAAACACTGGGCAGCAAGAATACTCTATGGGAATTGGAGTTAATCACCCATTTACCATTTTGCAGTAATCCCAAGTGTTTCTGGATTTGCTTTACAACAGTAGTTTCTCTGTACTGCTCCCCACCCCCACCTCCCTTGTCCAGCTGGGTGGGGTTACTTTGCTGAGCTCTGGGCTTCTGCTAATGTAATATTCATCGTCCTGACACCTGAGCCCTTTGCCTTAGGGATGGGGACTGCTTCAAGATTTAGTCCAGGGGAGAAGGAAGGACAGCTGTGTTCTGCGTTAGGAATCCGACCTCTCACTTCTGGGCTTTTACTACTCTCATCTTGGGGGAGGGTTCTTCTGAGGGAGGCACTTGAAGGAAGAAGAGGCTGACCTGGGACAGTCCTTGGGAATGGAAGATGGGCGGGACTTGTGGTTCTGGGCTGGAGTGGGAGAGTTTGCTCACAGAAGGACAGGCCTCTGGAGATCTCGCAGCTATCGCCTGTTCTCTTGTGGCTCAAACTAGGAGACGGGACTTCTGGGATTTCCATGTTGTCTTAAGGGGTGAGGCCTCTAAGGGTTGGGCAAAAGTGAGAACAGAAACCAAGGGGATTAGGAATTCTGGGTTTCTGGAGTAGGAATATGGTGATTCACTGGAGGGAGAAGGGGATGGGACGGTGTGGGGGAGTGTTGGCTAACTATAGCCCATTCCTGTTACTTCTGCTCTCACTGCTGTCCCTTTGCTGTCTGTTTTCCTGCCATTATCCTTTCTTTCCTGACTACTTCTCTTCTGGCTCCTGTTGCCTCTCCAGACCACAACTCGGCGGCCCAAGGTGAGAACAAATAGGCCTCTGTGCAAGGCCACTGCTGAGTATACACACATTTCAGGCATATGCATGTATGCAAGCACGTGTACTGTCAAATAAAACTTGGCCACAGTGCAACATAGGTTCTCTTTGAGGGGGAAGAGGGCCCTAGATTTAGTGATAGGCCCCTCCTGGGTAAATGACTTCCAGCTCTCAGAAGCTCTTCTGAGTCAGTAGATTGAATACAAAAGAAAAATGAGAGGGATTGCGGTTAATCCAACATAGGCATTCTTGAATAATGTAATTTTGACTAGTTTTGAGGGGAGGGGTTAGAAGAGGTAAAGAACTTGGCAGTGTACAATGTTAGTAGGAGGGTGAGTGTGTCTGTGAAAGCCTTTGGATAGGAATGTTGGGATAGAATGCTCTTTCCAAGAGTCAGCCCACTAGAAGAAATCTGGGGTTCAGCCCTGCTAGGGAGAGCACTGGGCAGAGTTGTTTGCTTTAGAGCTTGAGCCTTCAGGGTAGCTCCTCAGCACCCCCATCCACCAAGCCCTACAGTGCTCTGGGCAAGCTACCCAATTAGAATCCCTTTGTCTTGGGGACTAGGTTTAGAAGGGTTGTTTCAAGGGGAGTCTAGGGCTACAGCTTTCACTTTGGCCCCTTTGCCTGTGGGGTTCCCTAATCCGACCAAAATGGGGGAGATTCAGTTTGACTTCCAGAAAGTAGGGCGGGCCTGACAGTGGTAGAGAGCCTACACCTCACTTTTATTTTTATTTTATTTATTTTTGCACCTCACTTTTAGCTCATCCCTCTCTGGGAACATGAAAATTGAGAACAATCTCTGATCTGTTCTTTCTCTCTGGGAGCCATACTGAGACACTTTTTTTTTCTATTCTTGGGGAGTTGGGTGCAGACGTAGAGTAAGGATGGGACTGGAAGTATTAAGAAATTGCTAGAATGATCACAAGTAGGTCACAGGGAATTTTGGGGAGGAAGTGATTCTGTTCTAAAGGGTAGTGCCACAGCTGGGAGGAATGTGGGGTCTGTGCCAAAGGAGGAACCTTATAATCTTGTTTTCTCCCACCCTTTCTCCCTTTCCTTCTCCCTTCCTCCCCTGTCTTTTATCATTGTTGCTTTCTGACTCTTATTTTTCCCTCCCTTTCCCCCTGTCACTGTTCTTATTGTGCTTTCATACTCTGACTTTTCCCTTATCTGTCTCCTTCCCTTGCCCTATTCTCGTGCTTTGTCTCCCTCTCATTGCCTTGATCCCCTGTCCTCTCTGAATAGCCCACTCGCCCAGCCAGTACTGGGGTGTCCGGGGCCAGTAGCTCCTTGGGCCCCTCTGGCTCAGCATCAGCAGGGGAGCTGAGCAGCAGTGAGCCTAGCACCCCAGCTCAGACTCCGTTGGCAGCGCCCATCATCCCCACACCAGCTCTCACATCTCCTGGAGCAGCACCCCCACTTCCTTCCCCTTCCAAGGTAAGGATGGGTTGGGGTAAAAGAGACTAAAAATGCCAAGGGGCCTGTGATGCCTGGCTGAGTCTTGGAAACTTGCTGTGGTTAGAGAAGACCTAGAACTTGGATTGGAGAGATGGGGACATAACATACAGATATCTTACTATTGGCCAAGCTACCCTTTCCTCCCTTCTTTCGTATATTTCCTTTATATACTGTGCCACAATTTCCTCTCAGACTTTTATATGCCACTTGTTTTTGATGCTGGGGCTGGGGTGATGTTTGCACACATTTTTGTCTTCTCTACTCCAGCTCAGTTATAGTGGGGAGCAAGGGTGGGCTGTGCTCAGATTGTGAGGCCTCTTCTTGGCAGGAGGAGGAGGGACTGAGGGCTCAGGTGCGAGACCTGGAGGAGAAACTGGAGACCCTGCGGCTAAAACGGGCAGAAGACAAGGCAAAGCTGAAAGAGCTGGAGAAACACAAGATCCAGCTGGAGCAGGTGCAGGAATGGAAGAGCAAAATGCAGGAGCAGCAGGCAGACCTGCAGCGGCGCCTCAAGGAGGCGCGGAAGGTGGGACTGAGGATGAAGGGGACGGCTGGTTGGGATGAGGGTCCTGAGGATGTAACTGGAAGAAACTAGATTGGTGTTGGAATCGCTTCTTATCCTTTGGCTAAGATCAAGTGTAGATTGGTGCTGAAGTCCAGAATGCCATGTGAAGAAGAGCAACACAGACATTTCTGTGCTCTTGTCGACCCATATCACCCCTCAGGAAGCCAAGGAGGCAATGGAGGCCAAGGAGCGCTACATGGAAGAGATGGCGGATACTGCTGATGCCATCGAGATGGCCACTTTGGACAAGGAGATGGCTGAAGAGCGGGCTGAGTCTCTGCAGCAGGAGGTAGAGGCCCTGAAGGAGCGTGTGGATGAGCTTACTACGGACTTGGAGATCCTCAAGGCTGAGATTGAAGAGAAGGGTAAGGAGCCAGGACCTGTGTGTGTGTGGGTGGGGAATGAGTTGGGATGCAGTAAGCCTGAACATGGCAGTGGTCTTCCCCAGGCTCAGATGGGGCTGCATCCAGTTACCAGCTCAAGCAGCTTGAGGAGCAGAATGCCCGCCTAAAGGATGCCCTAGTGAGGTAGGCTCCTCTCTGTTTGGCTCTGGAGTTCACTCACTGGCTTCTGAATGTGTTAGAGCACCCATCACTTGCTGACTCTGATACATGCTCTCTCCTTTTTCTATCTTCCCCACAGGATGCGAGATCTTTCTTCCTCGGAGAAGCAGGAACATGTGAAGCTCCAGAAGCTTATGGAAAAGAAGAACCAAGAGCTGGAAGTTGTGAGGCAACAGCGAGAGCGCCTGCAGGAGGAGCTAACCCAGGCAGAGAGCACCATTGATGAGCTCAAGGAGCAGGTCTGAGGAGTCCAGCCTGTGCCTAGAATCTCCCTACCTGATTCTCCTGTTGCCACCCCTCAGCAGCGCTTTTCCTTGTCCCTTCCTCATAACACAGGTAGATGCTGCTCTGGGTGCTGAGGAGATGGTGGAGATGCTGACTGACCGGAATCTGAATCTGGAAGAGAAAGTGCGGGAGTTGAGGGAGACTGTAGGGGACTTGGTAAGAGAAGAGTAGACACCTGACGGAGAGTATTTGGAAGGGACCTGCTGAGAGATTGATATATTGAGTAAAGTTGTGTAGTAAAGGACTTTTCTTAGCCCTTCTGCTCTGACCTTGCCTTTAGTTTCCCATGGCTGCCTTTTGTTCCAGGAAGCAATGAATGAGATGAATGATGAGCTGCAGGAGAATGCACGTGAGACAGAACTGGAGCTGCGGGAGCAGCTGGACATGGCAGGTGCCCGAGTGCGTGAGGCCCAGAAACGTGTGGAGGCAGCCCAAGAGACGGTTGCAGACTACCAGCAAACCATCAAGAAGTACCGCCAGCTGACTGCCCACCTACAGGTGCCTGTCCATACCCCGTTCACTGCCCGTGATCACCCCTGGAGTCCCTCACAGCCTAGTTGTACTGCACTGTCTCTGCTCCCAGGATGTGAATCGGGAACTGACAAACCAGCAGGAAGCATCTGTGGAGAGACAGCAACAGCCACCTCCAGAGACTTTTGACTTCAAAATCAAGTTTGCTGAGACTAAGGCACATGCTAAGGTCAGGAAAGTGGGTGGTCTGAGGCCAAAATGTTAGGGAGCTCAGCCTGGATATAGCTGTGGGCTGACCTGATACAGAATTATGGGCTTCAGATTCCTCAGGGAAGGTGTGCTTTGTGTTGTAGTTTGGAAGACTACTGGCGTGGGCTTGTCCTAAAAGTATGGGTCCTCGTGAGCAGAGTATGGTGATTCTGGGGCTCTACCTTGGCTGAGAGCCCTCCTTTCTGTCCACTTCATAGGCAATTGAGATGGAGTTGAGACAGATGGAGGTGGCCCAGGCCAACCGGCACATGTTCCTGATGACAGCCTTCATGCCTGACAGCTTCCTTCGGCCAGGTGGAGATCATGACTGTGTCCTGGTGTTACTGCTTATGCCTCGTCTCATTTGCAAGGTATGACTTGTCATTTGTATGTACAATAAAAATCTATTGAACTTGGTGTGATCCGGACATTAAGGATGCTGAGTGAAGACAGCAGTCAGCATCTCTGCCCATAAAGAGCTTTTGAGGTAGCAGAGGAACTTACAGTCAACAAAGTCACAGATGACAGATGACTATGGAGTCTCCATAACTAGATTCGACCAACTGTAGATCAAAAGTATTTGGGAAAAAATTGTATCTGTATTGAACATGTACAGACTTTTTTCATTATTCCCTAAACAATATAATATAACAATAGTTTTCATGACACATATTATATTAGGTATTACAAATAGCCTAGAGGTGATTTAAAATATACATGAGGACATACATAAAATAATATGTATATATTGCGGTATTTTATATAAGAGACTTAAGCATCCATGGATTATTGTTACTTGTTGTGAGTTATGGAACTAATCCCCTACATATTCAAGGGATGACTGTTACAAATTGTGTGTTATAAAAGAGAGATAGACTCTTTGAGGTAGTGTCATTGGGGATCTGATTCAGATGAAAACAGGATATAACTGAAGAGAACATTTTAGCTGAGAGCCAGAAGATGGCTAGGAGTTAGCTAAGGGAATAATGGGCAGCACAGTATTCTAGGTGGAAAGATAGTGGGGCAGCAGCTCTAAGTCAGGGAGACTTGGTTCTCATGGTCCCACTGCCCTTTTCATTCTCATACCCTAAATCCTCACAAACTCCAGTAATCTTCCCCAGGGGAGGCTCCATGCCTATCTGAGAGCTGCTCTGCTTTCTCTCTCTCATCTCTCTGTATCCACACTTCCTTCATAAATGTTAAGCTGTGTCCACTATTCCTAAGTCTGTTCTCCAATTTCTGCTCTGAGTTCTAGGTCTCTGATCTTCTTTTTACAGGCAGAACTGATCCGGAAGCAGGCCCAAGAGAAATTTGAATTAAGTGAGAACTGTTCAGAGCGGCCTGGACTTCGAGGAGCTCCAGGGGAGCAGCTCAGCTTTGCTGCTGGACTGGTATACTCACTGAGCCTGCTGCAGGCCACACTGCACCGCTATGAGCAGTAAGTGACTCCTGACTCTACTCCAGGGTCATGGGTCCAGGATAGGCTGGAACTGAAATTTCCTGGAAGACTTTAGCCTCACAGAGCCCTTCTCTGGTCTCTAGTGCCCTTTCTCAGTGCAATGTGGATGTGTATAAGAAGGTGGGCAGCCTCTACCCTGAGATGAGTGCCCATGAGCGCTCCTTAGATTTCCTCATTGAGCTGCTGCACAAAGATCAGCTGGATGAGACTGTCAATGTGGAGCCTCTCACCAAGGCCATCAAGTACTACCAGGTCTGGAGCAAGAATTCAGGTTTGGGGCAGGAGGGAGGGAAGCTTTTGTCTGGTTGGAGTTACTGCCAGTGTAATCAAGGTAGTATATGTCAGGCTGGCTGCTTGAGGCCTGATGTACTCTTAGATAAACTTGCCTTATGACACAGCTGCCTGGAGGTTTTGGATTCTCCTGTACCTCTGCAGGCTTATAATGACTCTGGCTCATGCTGTAGTTTGGGAAGAACTCTCCCCTCTTCCACAGGCTACAGGCTGTTTTTGTTTTGTTTTTGTCATCCCTCTCCAGCATCTGTATAGCATCCACCTTGCTGAACAGCCTGAGGACTGTACCATGCAGCTGGCTGACCACATTAAGGTGAAGTGTCTAGATCAGTGCTTTAGTCCCCTGTACAAATGAGAAGCAGTGGACATTAAAGAGCTCAGGCTCCCAAGGCATTTCACATGAGACTGGGACAAGGCCTCCAAAGCCAGATCAAGGAAGCCAAAGGACCCACTTTTAAATGGGGATCAGCATAGGGTGGATACTTCTTAGAGATGATGATGGGGCAAAAGTGTCCTGTTGGTGGCTGAGGACCACATGCTTCTCTCCTCACAGTTCACCCAGAGTGCCCTGGACTGCATGAGTGTGGAGGTGGGGCGGCTGCGTGCCTTCTTGCAGGTGAGGGCATATCGAGAGCTGTGAGAGCTTCTCTTCCCTCTTGGTCCTCACCTCCATCTCTAGTGCTGACTTAGTTCCCCATCCATTTCCTGTTTCCTTCCTAGGTTGGACAGGAGGCTACAGATCTTGCCCTTCTGCTTCGGGACCTAGAAACATCGTGCAGTGACATCCGCCAGTTCTGCAAGAAGATCCGAAGGCGAATGCCAGGGACAGATGCTCCTGGAATCCCAGCTGCACTGGCCTTTGAATCCCAGGTTTAGGACTTTGAGTAGGGAATGGAACGAAGCTGAGTAGAACTGGGAGGGGCCTAGCATGTTAAGATCTGGATCTGGTCAAGGGACAGTACTGGTTTTTTTGGTAGCTGGTTATGTAATGCTGGACTCAGGGTGGGCTCTTGACTATAATCTGTCACACAGGTGTCGGAAACACTCCTAGACTGCAGGAAACACTTGACATGGGTGGTGGCTGTACTGCAGGAAGTAGCAGCTGCTGCTGCTCAGCTCATTGCCCCCCTGGCAGAGAATGAGGGGCTACCTGTGGCTGCACTGGAGGAGCTGGCTTTCAAAGCAAGCGAACAGGTTGGCTTGGATGGCTGGGTAAAGAGGATGAGAAGTTAGTGGCTACGGCTTGGCTCTCACTCCTGACTTTGGGTCCTATAGATCTATGGGAGCCCTTCCAGTAGCCCCTATGAGTGTCTGCGCCAGTCATGCAACATCCTCATAAGCACCATGAACAAGCTCGCCACAGCTATGCAGGAAGGGGAGTATGATGCTGAGCGGCCCCCCAGCAAGGTAGGTGGAGATTTCCATGGAGGGGCTCCAGTGGCCTGGAGGAGCAGGACTTGCAGAGTTGCTGCTAATTGTGGGAGGGCAGGGAGGCAGGAAAAGAGCATCTGGAAAGCAATATCTTCCCTAGAAGGCAAGAATATTTTCCCGGTAACTGGATCTCTCTGAAAGAAGCACTTTAATGATACCTGCTCTCTACCCCTACTCTCTGACACACCCTATTCCTTAGCCGCCTCCAGTTGAGCTGCGGGCTGCAGCCCTTCGTGCAGAGATCACAGATGCTGAAGGCCTGGGTTTGAAGCTTGAAGATCGAGAGACAGTTATCAAGGAGTTGAAGAAGTCACTCAAGATTAAGGTGAGGGTAGGGGTATAATGTCAAGTGAAATAAACCAGACAAACAAGTGTAAATGCCTTATGGTTTCTCTTCTGTGAGAAATACAAAGTATAAATAAATTAAAGAGCAAAATAATAGGAAATCAGGAGATAGGTCTTTTGTAAAGGGGAAGGGTATCAAGAGATGGAGGAAGAGTGGAGAGAGGCCAGAAAAATAGAAAGTAAAAATAGTTAAGATGTGTGGCGTACGTGTACCAACTCCCCTCAAATGTAATCATCCTGTACTGCAAACATATAGTAATAAAAGAAATAGAAAAATAAAAGGTGAAGTAGACTTGGGATTTAGGGGCTAGGAAGCATGGTGGGATCCAGGGCAGTAGCAAGTATGGGGACTGGGACTGAGACAGTTTTGGGGGGAAAAGGGGCCAGGGAGCTTTCTTTTCTTTGTGTTTTCTTTTCTTTCTTTCTGTTTTTTTTTTAGTTCGGGGGGGTAGTGCTGGGGATCAAACCCAGGGCCTTGGACGTGCTAGGCAAACACTAGATCAAACCACTGAGTCACATTCCTATCCTGTCAAGGGTCTTTCTAGCTCATGGTCTAACCTAGGTCTTGGGGAGGTGGGGAGGAGGATGTCAGGAAACTAGAAGCTCCTTGTCTTGTCCAGGGAGAGGAGCTGAGTGAGGCAAACGTGCGGCTCAGCCTTCTGGAGAAGAAGCTGGACAGTGCTGCCAAAGATGCAGATGAGCGCATTGAGAAAGTCCAAACTCGGCTGGAGGAGACCCAGACACTGCTGCGGAAGAAGGAGAAGTCAGGCACTTTCTCTGGGGCCTGCTTCTTCCACCCTTCCCTCTTGCTGGAGGCTCTCTGTCACTAACCCTTCTCCCTTCCCTTCACAGTGAGACTCCCCATTAACATCCATTCCAACCCTATTGTTTCACTCTATCCTAAGTCTGTGTTGCCCAGTCTCTGTCTCCTCACTAGCAGGGCTACCCCAGGACCTATCAGGACTGAAAAGTCAGGTGGGGCCTTGAAGAAGGGACACTGCCCAAGCCCACATTCTCTTTCACAGAGAGTTTGAGGAGACAATGGATGCGCTCCAGGCTGATATCGACCAGCTGGAGGCAGAGAAGGCAGAACTAAAACAGCGGCTGAACAACCAGTCGAAGCGCACAATTGAGGGGCTCCGCGGGCCCCCTCCCTCAGGCATTGCTACACTGGTCTCTGGCATTGCTGGTGGTGAGTACAGTAGTTTAAGTGGTGCTGGCCCAGAGGAGACTGACTGTATTGCTTTGAAAGATTTGGCCAAGGTTTGACTTTTGCTTCTCTTCCCCCTGGATGTTCAACTAAGAACATGTTTGCCCAGTTTCACTTTGCCTGCTTTCACCAAGTTTTCGCTTTCCCTAAAGATATGTGCAGAGTTTCTCTGACTAAAGTAGGGCATTCCCAAGTTTGTCAGGTAAGTTCAGAATGATGATGACAGTTGAACTCTAGTAGCTGGCCCTTCTGGGTCTACAGTCTGGCCTTTCTGTCCCAGCTTCATGTTCCTGAGGGTTGTCAGTCAGCTACAGTCAGGTTTTCCAGCCTTGCCTGAAACCTGCTTTTGACTGTCCCTCTGTTTGGGCGCTGAGCTCACCTGGCTTCATCTTATGGTGTGGTTGTCTTTTCCATTGCATAATTTTCCCAATTTTATTTCTTCCTTCTATTCTGACCTTTGCTTAGTCACTCAGTATGGTCAGGACTCTTACCTAGAGTTTTTATGGCTTCAGACCCAGTCTCCAGTTTCCTGAGAGAGGAAGTGGCTAGTACGTCTTGGTTCTTATCTACCCCATAGTTTGTTTTTGTTTCCCCTTCAGTTTTTCACATCTAGAAGACATCTTGTTTCAACCATCAAGGACTCTGGACTTTCCCCATTATTCCTATGTCTTCTTTTTTTTTTTTTAGTGCATGTTTTCAGTATATAAGATGCATTCATTGTGGGGAGTTGATACATGTGTATAACACATCTTAATGCTCCTGTGTCTGCTTGCTCTCATCAAAGTCCCTGTCACTGGTGCTGCTTGCTTTTGGGAGGTAACCAAGTACCTTCATGACATTGGACTCCTGTGGTACAGACAGCTGCATGTTCTTTCAGGGAAATCTTTAGACTGTCACCCTGTACTGTGTTAAACACAGTCTCTCTAAGCAAATGCTGATTCTGAAATCATGAAACACCCCAAAATTATGAAACTTTGACACAGAGCAATGGGGAAACCCAAGGAACAAGGGAATGTGCTTGCATCCTTAACCCAAGCTTTGCTGCTGGTAAGCACTAAGGGTACAGACAAATGGAGCTCTCTGGATCATCCTCATTCCCTTCTTGGAAATAGAGTAAGAGACAGAGAGGGAAACATCCTCATATCTCAGGTGCTTCATCCAGCATTCACTTTGCCATTCTTCTCACTCCCTGATTCATGGCCTCACTCCCCCTTGTTCTCTTTGTCCACACATGTCTACTCTTATTCCAAGGGCAGGGACAGAGATGGGATGTTATAAAAAGGGTAGGATGATTAGGCCAAGGGTTTTCCTACAGGTCGAGTCCAGGATTCCTCTCGTATGTCCCCCATCCCCAAACTCTCTAATTCCTCTTTCCTCTTTTCCTGCTCCCCGATGGGCTATCTCGAGCACAGAAGAGCAGCAGCGAGGTAGAGATCCAGCCTGGCTGGGGCTTATCAGGGCTGGTGGGCATTGGGGCTGGGGGAGCAGGGTGATGCTTCCTGCCATTTGGGAATAGCCAGGATTGGAGGTGAGAGGGAATGAGGAAAGGGAAAGAGCAGCAATGAAGCCCAGTTTTCCTCTTGGGGCTAAGGACTTTCGTTGTGGTGTCCACAGGGAGCACTCCTGGGCAGGCTCCAGGGCCCTTGCCAGGTCCAGGGCTGGTGAAGGACTCACCCCTGCTGCTTCAGCAGATCTCTGCCATGAGGCTGCACATCTCTCAGCTCCAGCATGAGAATAGCATTCTCAAGGTGAGGAGCGCCCAGGAAGAACTGGGTGAAGGATGGAGCATACCTGTCCCATTGATGATGCATGGCAGAGGCCTTCTATCACTCCTCACCGCTACCCCTCCTTTTTCTCCCACAGGGAATCCAGATGAAGGCATCATTGGCAGCCCTGCCCCCTCTGCACGTTGCAAAGCTTTCTCTCCCACCCCATGAGGGCCCTGCTAGTGAACTAGCAGCTGGAGTGCTATATCGTAAGACCAGTCAGCTGCTGGAGACATTAAATCAACTGAGCACGCACACTCATGTAGTAGATATCACTCGTGCCAGCCCTGGTATGTGCCTGCGGATGAGCTCTGAGATCCGTAATATACCTCTTCCCCTCACTCCAGGAATTTAGCCCCTACCCAGGCAGTTCCTGCACATAGAGGCTTTTCCCAGCAATTCCCTGTACCTTCATTGTTTAATTTGCCTCACTATCTGCCTCACTATCACATTTAATTCTCTTACTATCTCTCAAGTTCATTACCTGTACTCTTGACGTAGATCACTTAAGCTGCTAGCCTGGGCTTTGGTGGTCCTTACCAGCTTTCCCTTCCAACAGCTGCCAAGAGCCCGTCGGCCCAGCTTATGGAGCAAGTGGCTCAACTCAAGACTCTGAGCGACACCATTGAGAAGCTCAAGGTCAGCTCACACCCTGCCCTTCCCCACTCTACCAAGCTCATTTCAGAGCATTTCTAGCCAAACAAACACTTTTGGAGTTCCTTGGGGGATAGCCCCATGGTAGATGGCGCACTAGGGAGAGGGTAGAAGGGAAGGAAGAATTTTTGCCTTAGGAACTGAATATCTTGCTGCAAACAGAAGATAAATTCTTATCAGCAAAATTCATGAGTTGGGATCATCTTCAGGGTGTGTGATTCAAGCTGCAGCTTGTTAGAGCTGAGATCAATGTGGAATAGAATTCTTGAGCATGGCTTCTCAGAGGCAGTAGGAGCTGAATTGGATCTTAAAGAATAAGGATCTCTAAAGGAGGAATGATTGGAAATGAGAGCAGAAGAAAAGCAATAGAGAGATTTAGTTCTGCCCTCTTGGTGTTAGTAACTCTTTGAAACCAGGGAGGGTCCCCTAAATAATTGTCCTTCCCTCCTTAGGATGAAGTTCTCAAGGAGACAGTATCTCAGCGCCCTGGAGCCACAGTCACCACTGACTTTGCCACTTTCCCTTCATCAGCCTTCCTCAGGGTAAGGGGGAGCATGGGGTAGAGGATGGCGTAGTGTGGAGGGTCCAGATGGGTCCTATTCCTCCTCCAGAGACCTCTGGAGTCTCAGATCCAATAACGGCATACACTCTGCTTTATCTAACAAGTCCAAGTCTTACTCAGAAATAACTCATAATTGCTTGTAATTATGTATCTTAGGTAAAACAGTACCTTCTGTGACTTGATGCCATAATTTAAAACTCCCTTGTGAACTATGTGGCCATGATAGCCTAAGAACTCAAAAGCCTCATTCTCTGAGGGGCTGCCTTAGTATCAAGGACCTCTTCAGTGGCCCACAGTTTAACCCTGACCTGGAATTTTCTTTTCCAACCCCAAGGCCAAGGAAGAGCAGCAAGATGACACAGTCTACATGGGCAAAGTGACCTTCTCATGTGCAGCTGGCCTTGGACAGCGACACCGGTTGGTGCTGACCCAGGAGCAGCTGTACCAGCTTCACAGTCGCCTCATCTCCTAAGCACTCCTCCTGCCACTGTCCCCTTCAACCCTCAGCCTTCCTGGTGCCACTCGGCCCAGTGTACAGCCACCTCAGCCAACCCTAGGTAGAACTGTGTGGGCTAAAAACTTTCTGCCCTGTTCAGCTTTGCTCCCATCTTGTCAGAGCTCCACTCCTGCCCCTTAACCTGGATTCTTCCATTTCTGTCCCCAGGAATTTTCCATAATTTGCTGTTCAGCTTTCCCTCTTTCCTGAGGGGCCTTGGGGCATGTGGGGGGTAGGCTGAAACTCCCACCACCAAAGGTTTAAAGAGGTCCCTCTGACTGAGGACTTAACCCCTTGATTAAAGCAACTTCTGCTTCAATGCTTTCTGTGTGTGATGTTGAGGGTGGGCTTGGGCCATTTGGCACAGCAGGAGTAGAGAAGGTATACCAAAGGAGCTTTGTCTGTATTAAATTTGAGGGCCCCTCTTTGTAGTGACCAATAGAGTGCCATGTGCCTCACATGCTTGTACATTAAGTTACTCTGAACAAGGGGACAAGGACTAGACTTAGGTATAGGGATGTAGGTTTATTGAGGGAGTTCAAAGAGCTGAGGATAGGTAGCTCTGCCAGCCCTGCTGTGTTTCCTCAGCTCTTCAGTCCAGTTGCTAGAGCTGGAATAATGATGTGATCACCACCCCAGCCAACTTTGTGGTGCACTGACAAGTCTCATTATATGGGTGCTATCAAAGGAACATTTACTAAACAAGGGAAAACCAACAAACCAGTAAGAAAGGATGGAAGTTGTAAAAAACTATTCCTAAATCCCATTATAAATTATTAGTTGAGCTACTTTTAAAAATTGATAGATTTCTGGGTCTTGACCTAGACTCACTGAGATACCTCAAGGGTTGGGATCCACTGGACCTATGAGTAGCACCCCAGCATTTTAGAACTTAGTTCCAGTTTAGTTGGCTGGCTCCTTGGTACACTTTTTCATTGCCCACTTGAGGAAAAATATCAGCCCACACTCCCAAAGGGTTCTGATCCAAATGAAGAAAAAATTCCTCGGTGCCTTGGAGCTGTCTGTCTGGGCTGGGTCCTCCACTTGTATAGCTTCTCGTGAAGGGAAGAGGCAAACAGGAAGAGGGGGCTCCAAGGTGGGAATCCAGGAGCATATTCTCTATTTAGAACAACTTCAGGCAAGATTGTGAGTCCTGGTAATATCTGATTGCCTACTTGGTGCCTACGGACTTTCTCAACTGGGGTTCTGAGATAAAATGATTTGAATGATTTTCTTCAGTACTCTCAAGGATGCTGTATGGCTAGTATGAGTGCAGCTTTATAAGACTTAACTTGTTGCATACAAAGGTTGCCTTAGGATGTTAGGGTTTACTTCCCATAGAACTGATTGACAAGGATTGCTGTGTCCTGATGCTGGATAGTCTTTGCCTGGCCTCTTCAAATTTGGCTTCTCTAGTGCTAAGGAATCGCACTACACTGTCCTTCCCCTGTGAATGGATTGTGTTCCTGTCCTTTCTACTCAAGCTGCTGACCTGCCTTCTCATTGGTGGTCAGCACACTGAGGCAACTCTAAAAGCACTTTGAGAAGGGAATAGGGCTTTTTTTGTTCCATATTTTTTCCTTGGTGGTAGTTTCTCACCATTTGAACTACTACTTTTTTGAATCCCAGACTCATTCATTTGGCTGGCTACCTCCCTATGAATACCCATAAGTGTCTGTCTCAAATTTGACACATATAAAACTGAAATCATCACTTTTGTGTCCTGGATGCAATAAGCCACATAACCTGTCTTTGACTCTTCACTCACTTTAGCTAATTTACCCAGCCCTGTAGAATTTTTCCTTCATTACTATCCTAAATCCACTTTTTTTTTTCACTGCTTCTAACTTTGAGTATAACTTCTTGCTCTGGGTACTTTGGCAGTCTCTTTTTTTCGGAGCGGGGGTACTGGTGATCAAACGCAGGACCTTGCTCTTGCAAGTCCACTGAGCTAAATCCCTGGCCAACTTTGACAGTCTTCAAACTGGTTACTCAAGCTCTGTTGCCTTTCTTCAGCCAGTTCTCTACATGGAGGCCAGAGGGACTTTTCCAAAATGCATACTGATCTGTGTCATTCCCTGCTTTAAATCCTGATGTAGTCCTTCCAACTGGAATTAAAGCCTAAAATTCTGAAATGGTTCTTCCAAGTGTTTAGAATTTAAACTTTTGTGTTCATTAGAATGGCACATAGGCACATAGCCTCCAGGGGACTACTTCTCCAATCCAATCCCTGTGGCTTATTAGATGCTTCTTTCTGAAAACAGTTTAAGTGTTTGTTTGAGACAGACAGGGTCTTGCTGTGTTGTTCAGGCTGGCATCGAATTCACTGTGTAGCCTAGGTTGGCTTCAAACTCATAGTGATTTTCCTACCTCAGCCGTCTGAGGGCTAAGATCACAGCCATGTGCCACCATACCTGGCCTCTGAAGACTGTTTTTAAAAATACATACCTTTATGCTAGGAATGCTTGGATTCAGTTGCTTTATAATCTTGGTAAGGTTTCTAATCAGGATCTGTATTCTTATTCACAGAATAGGAATAATATCTTTTTTTGTTGTTTTTTGATTTGTTGGGGTTTTTGTTTCATTTTTTTGAGTTCACTGTGTCCAGGCTTGAACTCAGGGTGATCCTCCTGCCTCAGTCTCTCAAGTGCTCAGATTATAGGCATGAGCCACCATGCCTGGCTGGGAGTGATAATACTACATATATGTTGTGAAGGCTAAATGAGTTAATGCATACAAGCATTAAGCATTATGCCTGGCACACAGAGTGTTTCTTCAGTACAACTCTTCCTATACTGTTTTATACTACTGTTTCCATTGTAATTGGTTGGTAGCTCCTCTATCTCCCTCACCCTTTAGACAGATTCCTTTAGTGTGCCTTCCATCTCTGCATCCCCCAGTGTGTATAACTGAAGAGGAAAATGGTGAGTTTCATTCTGGACATGAATTTGAGATTCCTGTGAAAATGTCCCAAGTGGAGATGTTCATTTGGTAATTGGATCCAACTGGGTCTGGAGCTTAGCAGAAAAGCCTACCTTGGAGATAAAAGGCTAAAGAGTGAATTGGGAGTACATCAGTGGTTGAATGAATGATTCGGATGAATTTATCATCTTTTTTTTCTTTTTGGTACTGGGGATCAAACTCAGGACCTTGCACTTGTGAGGCAGGTGGTGGCACCACTGAGCTAAATCCCCAGCCCCTGAATTTACCATCTTAATTCAGATTACTTAGAAAACCAGACCTGGAGCAAAACTTAAATGCAAGTGCTTTATTGGAAGGTACAGTCCTAGAGCAGCAAGACTGATAGAAAAAAAAAATCAAAAGTTTTGTTTAGTAAGTTGGTCATTTTTCTTCACAGAGACACAGCTGGTCCCTTGCCCATGTGAGATGTCTCTGTACAGACTGCACAGAAACACCAGGCCTGGGATTGATGGAGGGATAGAGAGGAAGTTCACCTACTCTTCCTCCTGCCTGTCCTTCCCATTTGAAATTTGACCTGGGAAGCATTAGCTCCCTCTCACTAAAGTGGATTCTATGTGGCATGGCGCTTCATCTACATCCTGAAGTACTGAGGGAACGATATGGGTACAGGCCTCAGAGTTGGAGGTATGGGAATCAGGTAAGGCTAGAGAATCTAAAACAGCAAGTCACCCTATAAGAGTGTACAGGGGGAGGGAGAAGGTGGAGTCCTGCGCAGCTATGGGAGTAAGATCACACACAGCAGAACCCGTAGGAGCATCTACTACGCCAAGCAGGTGACCCTCAGATCAACTTGTTCCAGTGTCAGAGGAGAGAGACTGAGGAGGTCAAAGGACAAGTGAGTTCTGGGAAGTGACCGCTGTAATTCACAGATGCTTAGTGAAGTGGCAGAGCAGCCTTCCTGAGATAGAGCAGAATCAAGATTGTGCTGGTGATCAAAGAAAGAAGGAGCTCTCCTGCACTACTGGGTTCCAGGCAACATCAGCTTATCGTGGAGGTTAGGTGGCCAGGGGATGGTGGATGACAATGGGGTGATTCCTGGAAACAGATGTAATGGTGGCCAGGAGGCCTGGCAAGGAGCTTTTTATATCAAGGATGGAGCATAGGATGATAATAGTTGCTTTTGATCTATCCAAAGCTAGTGTGATAGAACAGAGGAGATTGGCTGGCAGTTGGTAGGGGGAGATATGAAGTCTCCATCCTGCCTTCTAGGAGCTCCTCTTTTTTGGGGGGATTCTTGGGCAGATTCCCAGGAACAATATTACTTGTCCCAACATGGAAGCAGGTTTGTGAAGTAGGAAAATTCTAACTCTTCTCTTGGGGAAATTGCTTAGCCTCTCAGCCTCAGTTTGACTATTCTGTAATATAAGGCTAATAACACCTTCCCTAGGTACTATTCCTTAGGTTATCTTTAGGAGTAAGAATGCTTGACACAGTTGCTTAATCAAAAAGGATACATGGGAGGTAGTATACAAGTAAAAGCAAATGAAATGCAAGCAGCCATATTCCCAAGACACAGTGTTACACAGATAACCCCAAAGCATAAGTAACTCATTTTCATGTGTGGTTACTCTCTTATTTTCTACCATATTGGCACTCTTTCTTATTCTTAGCAGGCAAAGATTGAGGGAGAAACTAAACTTGGAGGCCTTCATTTACCCTCTCCCCCACAATTTGAATTAATCTGCTTGGTTCACATTTTTTTGTGTTGCTCCATAGTGAAGCAGGGGTGGGGGCAATACAAAGACCCAAATCTGCTGCTTGCTAATTCTAGTAATGTGTGAGGACCCTTAACTAAGGTCCCTGCCCAGGTTTGGGACTGAATGTGGATAAACAGTAGGTGTGGTCCGCAACCCAGGTGCTATCCTGAGGAAGCTTCACGCCGCTGATAACCTTGATCCCTCTCAGGAGGGCCAAAGGCACTAGACAGTGTGTCTGTTCACCCAGCCTCTCTCCATTTCTATCATGTGTGCCAGCAAAAACAGGCACTGCTACTCCCAGGGACAGATGGCCTCTGCTGCTAAAGTTCTGAAAGCAGCAGCCTGGGACATCTGGCCTTCCTTTGTCTACAGAAGGTTGAAGATTTGGGATGTGGGACTTAGACTCTTGCTCAAAGTAGTGCCAGAATAAATTAATATCCCTCACTTATTACTTTTTATTAGGGAAAAGTTAAATATACTGAGAGTAGATTATAAGTCTCCATGTACCATATTTATCATTTTTATCTATAGCCCGCCTCTCCCTGCCTGCATATTATTTTAAAGCAAATTCTAGACATTTTACTATCTACTTATTTCATCTTAAAGTGTTTTTTGTTTTGTTTTGTTTTTTGAGACAAGG